GCTGCTCACCGACGTGCTGGTCACGCTGGCGCTGCTGCTCTCGCTGGTGCTGGTGCGACTGGTGCCTGTCACAGTCGTGCTGGTCAACGTCGTGGTGCTGGTCTGGCTAAAGCTGGTCAGCGTGGTGCTGCTGGTTACAGTCATGCTGGTATGGCTAATGGTACTGGTTGCACTTGTGCTGCTCACCGATGTCCTAGTCACACTGGTACTGCTGCTCTCGCTGGTGCTGGTGCGACTGGTGCTGCTCGCTGACGTGCTGGTCAACGTCGTGGAGCTGGTCCTGCTAACGCTGGTCAACGTGATACTGCTGGTCCCGCTCATGCTTGTCAAAGTGGTGCTGCTGCTTTTGCTAGTGCTGCTGCCTGTCGTGCTAGAGCTGGTGAGAGTGGTGCTGCTGCTCTCGCTGCTACTTGTGCGCGTGGTGCTGCTGGTCCCCGTCGAGCTGGTCAGCGTCGTGGTACTGGTTGCACTAACGCTGCTCACCGACGTGCTGGTCGCGGTGCTGCTGCTGGTCCTGGTCGTGCTGGTGCGAGTGGCGCTGCTCTCTGACGTGCTGGTCAACGTAGTGCTACTGGTCTTGCTGATGCTGCTGCGCGTGGTGCTGCTGGTCCCAGTCGTGCTGGTATGGCTAGTGGTGCTGGTTGCACTGAAGCTGCTCGCTGACGTGCTAGTCACACTTGTGCTGCTGCTCTCGCTGGTCGCAGTGCTGCTGGTCACGCTAGTGCTGCTGCGAGTGGTGCTGCTCACCGACGTGCTGGTCGCTGTTGTGCTGCTGGTTGCGCTGGTGCTGCTACGCGTGGCGCTGCTGGTCCCAGTCGTGCTGGTGCCGCTCGTGCTGCTACTATCGCTAATACTGCTCACCGAAGTGCTGCTGCGAGTGGTGGTGCTGCTCCCAGTCGTGCTGGAATCGCTACTGCTGCTGCTCTCGCTCGTGCTGCTGCCAGTTGTGCTGGAGCTACTGAGAGTGGTGCTGGTCGATTCGCTGGTCAGCGTCGTGGAGCTGGTCCTGCTAATGCTGGTCAGCGTGATGCTGCTGGTTCCCGTCATGCTTGTCAAAGTGGTGCTGCTGCTTTCGCTAGTGCTGCTGCCTGTCGTGCTAGAGCTGGTGAGAGTGGTGCTGCTGCTCTCGCTGCTACTTGTGCGCGTGGTGCTGCTGGTCCCCGTCGAGCTGGTCAGCGTCGTGGCGCTGGTCTCGCTAATGCTGCTCACCGACGTGCTAGTCACACTGGTTCTGCTGCTCTCGCTAGTGCTGGTGTGAGTGGTGGTGCTGCTCCCAGTCGTGCTGGAATAGCTGGTGCTGCTGCTCCCGCTCGTGCTGCTGCCAGTTGTGCTGGAGCTACTGAGGGTGGTGCTGCTCGACTCGCTGGTACTGCTGCGCGTGGTGCTGCTGGTCTGGCTTGTGCTGGTCACACTTGTGGAGCTTGTTGCACTTGTGCTGCTCCACGTGGTGGTAGTCACGGTGGTGCTGCTGGTGGCGCTGGTGCTGGTGCGACTGGTGCTGGTTACCGACGCACTGGTCACAGTAGCGCTGCTGGTCACGCTGGTGCTGCTGCGAGTGGTACTGCTGCTTCTCGTTGTGCTGCTCACTGTTGTAGTGCTAGTCTGGCTGGTGCTGCTCCAAGACGTACTGCTCACCGACGTGCTAGTCACAGTGGTGCTGCTGGTCACGCTCATGCTGCTGCGAGTCGTGCTGCTAGTCTCACTCGTACTGGTAGCCGTAGTGGTGCTAGTTGCGCTGTTGCTGCTGTGAGTGGCACTGCTGGTCCCAGTTGTGCTGGTGACACTCGTGCTGCTGCTCCCACTCGCACTGCTCACAGACGTGCTAGTCACAGTAATGCTGCTGGTGCCAGTCGTGCTGGTAACACTCGCGCTGCTGCTTCCAGACGTACTGGTTTCCGACGTGCTGGTCGCTGTGGTACTGCTTGTCCCACTCGTGCTGGTAACGCTCGTGCTGGTAACGCTCGTGCTGCTGCTCTCGCTCGTGCTGCTGCTGGTTGCGCTAGTGCTGCTGCGAGTGGTACTGCTCGACTCGCTGGAACTGCTGCCTGTGCTGCTGCTGGTACCGCTCGTCGTGGTCACGCTTGTACTGCTGCTCCCCGACGTGCCGGTCGCAGTACCGCTGCTGGTCGCGCTAGTGCTGCTGCGAGTGATGCTGCTCACCGACGTGCTAGTCACGGTGGTGCTGGTAGTCCCCGTCGTGCTGGTCGCCGTGGTGCTGCTACGAGTTGTGGTGCTGCTACGAGTTGTGCTGCTCACTGATATGCTAGTCACGGTATTGCTACTTGTCACGCTGGAGCTGCTGCGTGTGATAGTGCTGGTCGCGGTGGTGCTGCTGGTTGCACTAGTGCTGCTCCGGGAGGTGCTGGTGGTTCCAGTCGTGGTGGACACACTCGTGCTGCTGCTCTCACTCGTACTGCTCGCCGATGTGCTAGTCTCAGTGGTGCTGCTGGTCACAGTGGTGCTGCTGCTCCTACTTGTACTGCTCACAGACGTACTGGTCGCAGTGCTGCTGGTCACGCTAGTGCTGCTGCGAGTGGTGCTGCTCACCGACGTGTTGGTCGCTGTTGTGCTGCTGGTTACGCTGGTGCTGCTACGCGTGGCGCTGCTGGTCCCAGTCGTGCTGGTACCGCTCGTGCTGCTACTATCACTAATACTGCTCACCGAAGTGCTGCTGCGAGTGGTGGTGCTGCTCCCAGTCGTGCTGGAATCGCTACTGCTGCTGCTCTCGCTCGTGCTGCTTCCAGTTGTGCTGGAGCTACTGAGAGTGGTGCTGGTCGATTCGCTGGTCAGCGTCGTGGAGCTGGTCCTGCTAATGCTGGTCAGCGTGATGCTGCTGGTCCCGCTCATGCTCGTCAAAGTGGTGCTGCTGCTTTCGCTAGTGCTGCTGCCTGTCGTGCTAGAGCTGGTGAGAGTGGTGCTGCTGCTCTCGCTGCTACTTGTGCGCGTGGTGCTGCTGGTCCCCGTCGAGCTGGTCAGCGTCGTGGCGCTGGTCTCGCTAATGCTGCTCACCGACGTGCTAGTCACACTGGTTCTGCTGCTCTCGCTAGTGCTGGTGTGAGTGGTGGTGCTGCTCCCAGTCGTGCTGGAATAGCTGGTGCTGCTGCTCCCGCTCGTGCTGCTGCCAGTTGTGCTGGAGCTACTGAGGGTGGTGCTGCTCGACTCGCTGGTACTGCTGCGCGTGGTGCTGCTGGTCTGGCTTGTGCTGGTCACACTTGTGGAGCTTGTTGCACTTGTGCTGCTCCACGTGGTGGTAGTCACGGTGGTGCTGCTGGTGGCGCTGGTGCTGGTGCGACTGGTGCTGGTTACCGACGCACTGGTCACAGTAGCGCTGCTGGTCACGCTGGTGCTGCTGCGAGTGGTACTGCTGCTTCTCGTTGTGCTGCTCACTGTTGTAGTGCTAGTCTGGCTAGTGCTGCTCCAAGACGTACTGCTCACCGACGTGCTAGTCACAGTGGTGCTGCTGGTCACGCTCATGCTGCTGCGAGTCGTGCTGCTAGTCTCACTCGTACTGGTAGCCGTGGTGGTGCTAGTTGCGCTGTTGCTGCTGTGAGTGGCACTGCTGGTCCCAGTTGAGCTGGTGACACTCGTGCTGCTGCTCCCACTCGCACTGCTCACAGACGTGCTAGTCACAGTAATGCTGCTGGTGCCAGTCGTGCTGGTAACACTCGCGCTGCTGCTTCCAGACGTACTGGTTTCCGACGTGCTGGTCGCTGTGGTACTGCTTGTCCCACTCGTGCTGGTAACGCTCGTGCTGGTAACGCTCGTGCTGCTGCTCTCGCTCGTGCTGCTGCTGGTTGCGCTAGTGCTGCTGCGAGTGGTACTGCTCGACTCGCTGGAACTGCTGCCTGTGCTGCTGCTGGTACCGCTCGTCGTGGTCACGCTTGTACTGCTGCTCCCCGACGTGCCGGTCGCAGTACCGCTGCTGGTCGCGCTAGTGCTGCTGCGAGTGGTGCTGCTCACCGACGTGCTAGTCACGGTGGTGCTGCTAGTCCCCGTCGTGCTGGTCGCCGTGGTGCTGCTACGAGTTGTGGTGCTGCTACGAGTTGTGCTGCTCACTGATATGCTAGTCACGGTATTGCTACTTGTCACGCTGGAGCTGCTGCGTGTGATAGTGCTGGTCGCGGTGGTGCTGCTGGTTGCACTAGTGCTGCTCCGGGAGGTGCTGGTGGTTCCAGTCGTGGTGGACACACTCGTGCTGCTGCTCTCACTCGTACTGCTCGCCGATGTGCTAGTCTCAGTGGTGCTGCTGGTCACAGTGGTGCTGCTGCTCCTACTTGTACTGCTCACAGACGTACTGGTCGCAGTGCTGCTGGTCACGCTAGTGCTGCTGCGAGTGGTGCTGCTCACCGACGTGCTGGTCGCTGTTGTGCTGCTAGTTGCGCTGGTGCTGCTACGCGTGGCGCTGCTGGTCCCAGTCGTGCTGGTGCCGCTCGTGCTGCTACTATCGCTAATACTGGTCACCGAAGTGCTGCTGCGAGTGGTGCTGCTGCTCCCAGTCGTGCTGGAATCGCTACTGCTGCTGCTCTCGCTCGTGCTGCTGCCAGTTGTGCTGGAGCTACTGAGAGTGGTGCTGGTCGACTCGCTGGTACTGCTGTGCGTGGTGCTGCTGGTCTGGCTTGTGCTGGTCACACTTGTGGAGCTTGTTGCACTTGTGCTGCTCCACGTGGTGGTAGTCACGGTAGTGCTGCTGGTCGCGCTAGTGCTGGTGCGACTGGTGCTGGTCAATGACTTACTGGTCACCGTAGCGCTGCTGGTTGCGCTGGTGCTGCTGCGAGTGGTACTGCTGCTTCTCGTTATGCTGCTCACTGTTGTAATGCTGGTTGCGCTCAAAGTGCTCGTTTCGCTTGCGGTTGTTGCAGTGACGGTAGTCAACGTCGCGGAACTCCCTGTGCTGGTGCTCGTGCCACTAGTGGTTGTCGTCGAGACCGTGCTGCTTGCGGTCGTGGTCGTAGTGGTCTCGCCGAGGCAGAGGTACTTCCAAGATGCACTAGTCGTGCTGGCTAACCCGTCGTCTGCAAACATGACGATGTCCGCCTGCACGTTGAAGAGACAACCAGAAAAACCGACGCCACTTATCCGCCACCGTGCCGCTGGGCACGGAGTGGGCGTGACCTCAGGTCCTGGGCCCAATCCTCAATCCTCAAGCCTCAATCCTCACTCCTGAGGAATCTTTTAAAGGGCCCGGGCTCCTCGCTCTCAAAGCTTCTTGGACTTGGCGCGACTTCTCGCGTGCCTTCTTCGGGCCCAAGAGGGCCCGAACCCACAACCCAGGCACGGTGGCGGGATAGGCCGAAGGCCACTAGATCCGCCGCCCCCTGCTTGCAGGGGTGCACGGCGTGCTGGGCGTTTCAGGTTTTGGTTTTGGTTCTTTTTCCAAAAGAACTCCCCAGTGGGCTCCGGCACGTCCCGCCGGGGTCCCGGGAGGAAGCCGAAAGGACCTCAATCCGGAAAACAATCCTCCAAAAAACGGCCGTTTCGCTCGGGACATCCTCAAAAAATCGCGAAGATGGCCCAAGATGGCCTCCAAGTCCGCCCGAGATGGTCCAAGACGGCCTCCAAAACGGCCCAAGAGAGTCCAAGACGGCCCAAGACGGCCCAAGAGGCCCCCCAGAGGCCTCCCAGACGGCCCAAGAGGCCTCCAAGAGGTCCTCCAGGAGAGTCCGAAGAGGCCAAAATCATTGATTTTCCCTTGGTTTTTGAAGGATTCTGGCATTTGCGCCTTTTCGGCTCTCCGACGGCTCGAGACGGCCCAAGAAGCCCCCAAGATCGCCCAAGAGGCCCCCAAGAGAGCCCCATGATGGCCCAAGTGGCCTCCAAGATGGCCCCTAGAGGGCCCCAAGAGGGCCCAAGAGGCCTCCAACACGCCCAAGATGGCCTCCCAGACGCCCAAGATGGCCTCCAAGACGGCCCTGGAGCATTCCAAGCGGGCCCCAAGTCGGCCCATAGAGGCCCCCCAAACGGCTTCCGACGGCTTCAGACGTGCCAGGAACCCACCAAGATGGCCGAAGTTGGCTCGAAGCTGGCCCGAGACGGCCCAAAAAGCCCCAAAGATCGCCCAAAGCTTGCCCAAGAGGCCTCCAAGACGGCCAAGATGACCTTCAAGATGCCCACGTGTTCCCCGAAGGCTTTCCAAACCGATTCGGGGAACACGTGGTCCGATAGCTTGGCAGGTCTGGCCTCAACGTTCGGCCACATAGGCGCTTCCAAAAAGGCAGGGGGCGGCGGTGATTCGCCGTAGGCGTCTTCGATCCGCCGCCCCCTGCTTGCAGGGGTGCACGGCGTGCTGGACGTTTCAGGTTTTGGTTTTGGTTCTTTTTCTAAAAGAACTCCCCAGTGGGCTTCGGCCCGTCCCGCCGGCCACCCGGAAAGGATGCCCAGGAGCTCAATTCCCCAATTTCCTGCCCCAGACGGTTCCAAGATGGCCTCCAAGATGCCTCTAAGACGGCCAGGATGGTCTCTAAGACGGCTAAGATGGCTCCAAGATGCCTCCAAGACGGCCCAAGATGCCCTCCAAGACGGCCAAGATGGCCCCAAGATGCCTCCAAGATGGCCCAAGAGGCCTCCAAGACGTTCTCCAGGAGAGCCCGAAGAGGCCAAAATCATTGGTTTTCCTTAGGTTTTTGAAGGTTTTTTGCGTTTTCTTCTTTTCGGCCTTCCGACGGCCCAAGAGGCCCCCAAGATCGCCCAAGAGGCCTCCAAGAAGGCCCTATGACGGCCCAAGGGCCCCCCAAGACGGCCCCAAGAGCGCCCCAAGACGGCCCAAGAGGCCTCCAAGACGCCCAACATGGCCTCCAAGACGGCCCTGAAGCGCCCCAAGAGGGCCCCAAGACGGCCCAGAGAGGCCCCCAAGACGGCTCCAGACGGCGTCAGACGGACCAGGAACGCCCTAAGACGGCCAAAGAGACCCCCAGGAAGCCCCCAAAGGCCCCCAAGAGGCCCAAGGAGGCCCCCAAGATGCCTCCAAGAGGCCTCGAAGAGGCCCCCAAGAAGCCCCCAACAGACCCCAAGGGTGCCCCAAGAGACTCCTAACAACCCTCATCCTCCTACTCTATTTCTTCCTCTTCCTCTTCCTGTTCATAATCATTCTCTCCCATGTGTTCCCCGAAAGCTTTCCAAACCGACTCGGGGAACTCATGGTCCGATAGCTTGGCCAAGCTCTAGTCCAACTTTCGGCCACATCGGCGTTTCCAAAAAGGCAGGGGGCGGCGGTGATTCGCCGTAGGCGTCTTCGATCCGCCGCCCCCTGCTTGCAGGGGTGCACGGCGTGCTGGATGATTCAGTTTTGGTTTTGGTTCTTTTTCTAAAAGAACTCCCCAGTGGGCTTCGGCCCGTCCCGCCGGCCACCCGTAAATTTCCCAAAATGCATCTGTCAATGCCCAAAAACGGCCGTTTCGCTCGGGACATCCTCAAAAAATCGCGACGATGGCCCAAGATGGCCTCCAAGTCCGCCCGAGATGGTCCAAGACGGCCTCCAAAACGGCCCAAGAGAGTCCAAGACGGCCCAAGACGGCCCAAGAGGCCCCCCAGAGGCCTCCCAGACGGCCCAAGAGGCCTCCAAGAGGTCCTCCAGGAGAGTCCGAAGAGGCCAAAATCATTGATTTTCCCTTGGTTTTTGAAGGATTTTGGCATTTGCGCCTTTTCGGCTCTCCGACGGCTCAAGACGGCCCAAGAAGCCCCCAAGATCGCCCAAGAGGCCCCCAAGAGAGCCCCATGATGGCCCAAGTGGCCTCCAAGATGGCCCCTAGAGGGCCCCAAGAGGGCCCAAGAGGCCTCCAACACGCCCAAGATGGCCTCCCAGACGCCCAAGATGGCCTCCAAGACGGCCCTGGAGCATTCCAAGCGGGCCCCAAGTCGGCCCATAGAGGCCCCCCAAACGGCTTCCGACGGCTTCAGACGTGCCAGGAACCCACCAAGATGGCCGAAGTTGGCTCGAAGCTGGCCCGAGACGGCCCAAAAAGCCCCAAAGATCGCCCAAAGCTTGCCCAAGAGGCCTCCAAGACGGCCAAGATGACCTTCAAGATGCCCACGTGTTCCCCGAAGGCTTTCCAAACCGATTCGGGGAACACGTGGTCCGATAGCTTGGCAGGTCTGGCCTCAACCTTCGGCCACATAGGCGCTTCCAAAAAGGCAGGGGGCGGCGGTGATTCGCCGTAGGCGTCTTCGATCCGCCGCCCTCTTTTGATTCATCACAGGGGTGCCTGGCGTGCTGAATCCTCTCGGTTTTGGTTTTGGCTCTTTTTCAGCAAGAACTCCCCCTGGGGCTTCGGCCCGTCCCGCCGGCCACCCGGAAACTGCATCAGTCAATGCCAAAAATGATCTCCAAGTCCGCCCGAGATGGTCCAAGACAAGACGGCCTCCAAGACGGCCCAAGAGAGTCCAAGACGGCCCAAGAGGCCTCCAAGACGGTCCAAGAGGCCTCCAAGAGGTCCTCCAGGAGGGCCCGAAGAGGCCAAAATCATTGATTTTCCTTAGGTTTTCGAAGGATTTTGGAATGTGCTTCTTCTCGGCATACCGACGGCTCAAGACGACCCTAGAGGCCCCCAAGATCGCCCAAGAGGCCCCCAAGAGAGCCCCATGACGGCCCTCCAACACGGCCCCAAGAGGGCCCCAAGACGGCCCAAGAGGCCTCCGGGGCGCCCGGGGTGGCCTCCAAGACCGCCCCGAGGCGCACCCAAAAGGCCCCCAGCCGGCCCAGAAAGGACCCCAAGACGGCTCCCGACGGCGTTAGACGTGGCAGGAACCCACCAAGATTGCCGAAATTGGCTCGACGCTGGCCCAAGACGGCCCAAGAGGCCCCCAAGAGGGCCTCCAGCAAGGCCAGAAGATGCCAAAAACCTTGATTTTCCTAAGGTTGTTGACGGATTCTGACATGTCCTTCTTTTCGGCCTTCCGACAGCCCGAGACGGCCCAAGAGCCCCCAAAGATAGCCGAAAGATCGCCCAAGAGGCCTCCAAGATGGCCCCAGAACGGCCCAAGAGGGCCCGAAGACGGCCCCAAGAGCATTACAAGAGGGCCCCAAGTCTGCCCATAGAGGCCCCCCAAACGGCTTCCGACGGCGTCAGACGGACCAGGAGCCCACCAAGACGGCCGAACATGGCCCCAAGATGGCCCAAGACGGCCCAAGAGGCCTCCAAGAGGGCCTCCAGGAAGGCCCGAAAAGGCCAAAATCATTGATTTCCCATGGATTGAGGCCCCCAACACGGTCCAAGAGGCCTCCAAGACGCTCAAGATGACCTCCAAGACGGTCCAAGAGCCCTCCAAGACGTCCTCCAAGAAGGCCCGAAAGGGTCAAAATGGCCTCCAGACGGCCAAGATGACCTTTAAGATGCCCACGTGTTCCCCGAAGGCTTTCCAAACCGATTCGGGGAACACATGGTCCGATAGCTTGGCAGATCTGGTCTCAACGTTCGGCCACATAGGCGCTTCCAAAAAGGCAGGGGGCGGCGGTGATTCGCCGTAGGCGTCTTTGATCCGCCGCCCCCTGTCGATTCATCACAAGGGTGCCTGGCGTGCTGAACCCTTTCGGTTTTGGTCTTGGTTCTTTTCCAGGAAAGAACTCCCCCTGTGGCTTCGGCCCGTCCCGCCGGCCACCCGAAAAGATCGCCCAGGACCTCAATCCCCAAAAAAGTCCTCCACGACGGCTCAAGATGGCCTCCAAGATGGCCACGTTGGCCCAAGATGGCCTCCACGATGGTCCAAGATGATCTCCAAGTCCGCCCAAGATGGTCCAAGACGGCCTCCAAGACGGCCCAAGAGAGTCCAAGATACCTCCAAGGTCGCCCGAGAAGCCTCCAAGACGGCCCAACACGACCCAAGAGGCCTCCAAGAGGTCCTCCAGGAGGGCCCGAAGAGGCCAACATCATTGATTTTCGTTGAGTTTTTGAAAGATTGTGGCATTTGCTTCTTCTTGGCATTCCAACGGCTGAAGACGGCCCAAGAGGCTCCCAAGATCGCCCCAAGATCGCCCACGAGGCCTCCAAGATGGCCCCATGACGGCCCAAAAGGCCCCCAAGAGGCCCCCAAGAGGCCCGCAAGTCGGCCCCAAGAGGGCTCCAAGACGGGTCAAGAGGCCTCCAAGACGCCCAAGATGGCCTCTAAGACGGCCCCGAAGCGCCCAAGAGGGCCCCGAGCCGGTTCAGAGAGGCCCCCCAGGCGGCTCCCGACGGCGTCAGACGGGCCAGGAACGCCCTAAGATGGCCAAAGAGGCCCGCGAGAAGTCCCAAACAGGCCCCAAGAGACCCTCAAGAGGTCCTCAAGAGGCTCCCAAGAGGCCTCCGCCTCCCTTCTCCTTCTTCCTCCCTCTCCTCCCCTTCCTCCTCCCCCCCACCGTGTTCCCCGAACGCTTTCCACATCGATTCGGGGAACGCATGGTCCGATAGCTTGGCAGGCCTCTGGCCACAACGTTCGGCCACATAGGCGCTTCCGAAAGGGCAGGGGGCGGCGGTGATTCGCCGCAGGCGTGTTCGATAGATAGTGTGCCTTTGTCCTGCAAGCCAGCGGAGGGCTGCGCACGGTTGAAGCACTCGTCGGCGCTCGCCACACTCAAGAGACCGAACTGTGCACAAGTTTGCCCAGGCGACAGCTGGGAGTAAGTTGGTCCTTGAGAGAAGGTCGTCTCCGAGGCGCTGGTGGTAGAACTAGAGGTGGCACTCGTCGAGATCGTAGTGGTAGAGGTCGCCGAGGCGCTGGTGGTAGTGGTAGGGGTAAAGGTAGAGGTCGTCTCCGAGGCGCTGGAGGTGGCACTCGTCGACGTACTGGAAGTGGCGGTCGTCGAGATGGTGGTGGTGCTGGTGGCAGTGGAGGTCACAGACGTGATAGATGTGCTGCTCGATGAGATCGTGGTGGTGCTGCTGCCGGTCGTCGTCAGGACGCCGATGCAGATGAACTGGTATGTCGAATCGGGCACGGTGCTGTTGGGGCTGGCATCCCCGAAAAACACCTTCGTCATCCCGACCCTATGCACACATGTAAACAAGAATCCGAAGCCCGAGAAATCCTGCGTCTCAGCAGAGCCAAGGTCCACGGAGGTCATGGCAAGCCCGAAACACTCTGCCGAGCTAGTTACGTCCTGCATGCCAGCCTCGTAGCAAGTCTGGCCAGCGGGCAGAAGGGTGTAGTCTACGCGGGAGGAGGTCGTGGCCGTCGACGACGTGGACAAGCTCGTGGCGCTGCTCGCGGTCGTGGCCGTCGCGGTAGCCGTTAAGCTAAATGTCAAAGTGGCGCTAGTGGGCGTGCTTGTCGACGTGGCGGTGCTGGTGGCAGTGGAAGTCACAAACGTGACAGATGTGGCACTCGTCGAGACCGTATTGGTGCTGCTGCCAGTCGTCGTCAGGACGCCGATGCAGATGAACTGGTATATCGAATCGGGCACGGTGCTGTTGGGGCTGGCATCCCCGAAAAATACCTTCGTCATCCCGACCCTCTGCACGCATGTAAACAGGAATCCGAAGCCCGAGAAATCCTGCGTCTCAGCAGAGCCAAGGTCCACGGAGGTCATGGCAAGCCCGAAACACTCTGCCGAGCTAGTTACGTCCTGCATGCCAGCCTCGTAGCAAGTCTGGCCAGCGGGCAGCAGGGTGTAGTCCACGCGGGAGGAGGTCGTGGCCGTCGACGACGTGGAAAAGCTCGTGGCGCTGCTCGCGGTCGTGGCCGTCGTGGTCGTGACCGTCGTGGCCGTGGAAGATTTGGTTGTGAGAGAAAGCGTTGCCGAATTCGTGGAGGAGGCGGTCGTGGTGAATGTGCCTGGGCAGACGTACTGCCAGCTGGGGCTGGCCACTGTCGACGTTCCGGTAGATAGGGCAAACAAAACCATGCCCACTGACGTGTCGTAGATACAACTGAAGCCTAACGAGTTGGTCGGAATGGATTGAGTTGGGGTGCCGCTCATTTCTAGGAAGCTCATCGCGCTGCCGAAGCATTCATCGGAGCTCGACACGTCAGCGAGGCCCACATCGTTGCAGGTCATGCCGGCGTCCAGGAAAGAGTAGACACTCTCTTCGGAGGCCCTCCTGGGATCAGGAGGGAAACATCGGCGCAAACACAACAAAAACGCAGATTCTCACTATATGTTGGACAGATGGGAAATTGAAGGGGAGAGGGGTGTGGAAATTTCCGGGGACCACTTTGAAAAACAACAAAACCCCCACTGAGAGAGGAGCTTTGAAAGGGGGATCAGGGGTCTTGTCCCAGGGGTGGGGGGGCGGGAAGGCTTTAGGATTTCCCCCCCAGGGCCCCGAACAAACCACCCTCACGTTTGCCCCCGCAACCCCGCCCAATAAAAAACACTTCGCGCTTTCAAAGGAGTTAGGGATTCCCCTAAGAACCAACCAAAAAACCCATCACGGGGTTTCCCGGACCTTCCCGACAAATCCCCAGTGTGGGTTCTTGGAAGGGTTCAAAGGCTGTTCCCCCGGCGCGCCTCGCTGGAAGGGAGTCACGACCTTGGGAAACCATTCCAAGAGAGGGTTTGAAGGAGGGGTGGCACTCGGCCCGTATCATAAGCATGCGCGATAAGGATGCAGGGGCCTTGGAAGGCCATTTCGAAGCTTTCCGAGTGGTGCCCGCGGCCGAGGAAACTGGCCAAATATGGGCCGAGGCAAAGACGCAAGGGTACCCTTGCCCATCCTTACCATGCGGGTTGACAGTAGAAGGGTTTCCCCAGGGAACCCATCCAAACCAAAGCCTCAAAGAGGGGTCACCCCCATGACCCCCACAGTTACTCGACGCGGAGATCTCCAGCTGTACATCTCATGGTGATGGCGAACTTCGGTAGAGGACATTGTCCTTTTCAATATCCGAATTTCAGCGAATCCACGTGGAAAACGAGGCCGAGAGGGACGCCGACGACTACGACGACTTGAATCAGTTATTTCCTCCTGCCGTCCTCTTCCTCCTCCTTGTGTTCTTGCCGCATGTGCCCAGATTCCGATGGAAGATTGGAGTGTGACCTCTTTTTTTTGTTGTTGAGAAGTTGGCAATGGAAATAGATAAAGACATTGCACCAGCCGCATCAAAGTTTTTTGAAGCACGTGAGGACACAAAGAAACAGATGACAATTTGTTTGGAAAAGTTGGCATTGGAAATACAGTCGGGGCGTTGACCTAAGGAACCCTAAAAAAGAAACGAGGCCCCTTGTTTCCATAAGTGAACCTTCGATTTCCGGTCGAAAACATAAGGAAAGCCTGAGGAAAGCCTGAGCCTTAAGGAACGCGGAGCCCCTCCCCAACAAAAAGGGTTCCTTCTTCAGGGCCCCGACTGTAGAAGATCCACTGCGCCAGTGGAGCAACACAAACCAGAGGGACAATGGAGGCCCCGAGGCTCGGAGGCCACTGGCCTCCGCTGGTGAGGAACCTCGAATACGGTGAGCGGCTTGACTAAAGAACACCTGCTTTTCAAAAGGGGCTCGGTCGTTCCTTAGATTTCACATGCGTTATTTAGAGTTCCTTACGCGTTATGCATTATTTATCGCTCCTTGTGCGTTATTCCTTGGGATAAAAAGGGGCTTCGTTCCTTATGTATCTTTCCTTAGGTCAGGCCGATGACTGTACCCATGTTCCCTCCGTCGGCAAATCGGAGCAGACTGCAGGAAGCTTCTGAAGTGCTTCTGGACAACGCAGCCCCCTTGCTCAGGGCAAGAGAAATTCAACAACAGTTGCCCCCTGGCCTCGCGCAGCAGGAAGTGGAGGATGCACTGACAGAACTAGAAGCACTGGATTTCTTAACAGATTATGGAGGAGGCAAACTCACATTGAGCCCGAGAGAGATGATCCAGCTCCAGAATGCAATTTACACCAGGTCGAAGAGGCGGAAGAAATAAGTAATATGGTCTGCGACGCAGTGAAACAACAACTTTGACATATTTGTTTCCGCGCTGCAAATTCAGCAACAACTGGTTCTAAGGGGCGTGTGCTGCACTTTTTATAGATTTGAAGGTGCCATTTCAGAATGGGTACTCTTGGGACTTGTTATCCAAGTGGGAGACGAATACACGTTCGTAGACAGATAATCACCTTGAACGGAGATGTCGTGCCAACTCTGCACGTGCCGCATGTTTCCCCAGATGTTCTGAGGAAGGACATGTGACCCTGCAGAGGAACAACAGAGCAGATGCTGTGCATCTCTGAGCGCGTTTGGCGCGGGAAGCATCTGTCTCGACGCGGCGGGAGGAGGCGGGGGGGGGAGGGCGGGGGAGGGGGGGGACTGTTCAAAACGTGGGCACAACAGGATGTACGTAGAATCTTAACCAGGCCCATCAGCAGGTGCTTGGAATGCAGGGGCCTCCTGCATTCTCTCCCCCCCCTATCTTCCCTGCGTTGTCTCCCTGTCTCCCGTCCTCGGTCCATCTTGTGAATGTGCCGCATGTTTCCCTCAGATTTTCTGGTGTGTGAGTGTGACCATGCAGAGGACGGAAAGAGGAGGGTTGAGCATTTCTGAGCGCGCTCGGCGCGGGAAGTGGAACCTGAGCGCGTTTGGCGCGGGAAGCATCTGTCTCGGCGTAGTGAGAGCAGAGAGCACGAGCGAGGACATCTCGGAGTGCTGGAGCCCCTGTGTTGGTGGAGGGGGGGGGGGGAGGGGTGCGGGCTTCTCGGACCACGGGCGCTCTGGCTCACAAACCAACTCGTCTTAGCCAGCGAGCCTCTCTCACGGGGCCACCTCGGAGCTCGCCTCCCTTTGAGCTTCGGGGCATGTCCCCGGCCCGCCCAGGGAGAAACATGGGGTGCGCGGCGCTACGGAATCGCAAGGGATTCTGCCAGTCGCAGGCGCAACTCCTATGCCAATGTTGACATAGACCCCCCTTTCTGCGGATGGCCTGGCCTGACCTCCTCCTCGTTCTCCTCCTTTCTCTGTGAGCACCTGTCAAGAAAATCTACCCGTGAAGACGACAACGGGCCCGTGCAATACCCCCTGGCGCCCCCCCTTCTGGGAGTGCTGAAACCAGCGCCTCGCCTGAGACATCCTCGGAAACTGCTCCGAAAGAGAAGGATGTTGGGCACCCAAACAGGGAAACCGCCTGAGACGTCCCCCCAACCTGGGCGCGAACGGGCCCGTGCAATACCCCTTGGTACCCCCCCCTGGAAATAGTGAAACCAGCGTCTCGCCTGAGACATCCTCGGAAACTGCTCCGAAAGACAAGGATGTTGGGCACCCAAACAGGCAAACCGACTGAGACCTGACCACCATCTTGGCGCGAACGGACGACAGCAATATCCCCTGGCGGCTCCCCCTTGGAAGCGAAAATGAGCGCAGCGCTTGAGACATCCTCCGAATCTGCTCCCAAAGCGGAGGATGTCGGGCACCAAAACAAGCAAACCGCTCGAGACTTCCCCGCAATTTTGTCGCGAACGGAGGAGTGCAATACCCCCTGGCGGCTCACCTTTGGAGGCGAAAGTGGGCGCCTCGCTCGAGACATCCTCCGAATCTGCTCCGAAAGCGGAAGATGTCGGGCACCAAAACAGGCAAACCGCTCGAGACTTCCCCGCAATTTTGGCGCGAACGGAGGAGTGCAATACCCCCTGGCGGCTCCCCCTGCTCCCGCAAGAGTTTTCGAATATAAACGGGCTTGAGTTGTGACGGTCTGGTCATGAATCTAACTGCGAATGAATTGGAGTGTGAATGAGCCTCAGTAATACGAACGCGTCTCTGCGCATGAGCTCGGGGCCTCCTGGGGCATCCTGAAATCTACTGGGGCTTCCTGGGGCCTCCAGGAGCCTCTTGGAGCCTCCTGGGGCCTCCTGGGACCTCCTAGGGAGGATTCGTGCCCCAGGAGAGGCCCAATCTATAGCAACAGAGAGAGAGAGAGAGAGAGAGAGAGAGAGAGAGAGAGAGAGAAGCCGTGCACGTCAGAGGTGCATTGACAAAAAAAATGCGGGTTGGAGCCACAGAAGAAGGGCAATCTATAGGAACACACGTAGAACAACTCGTGCCCCAGGAGAGGCCCAAAACATAGGAACATAAGTGAAACATTTAGTATTGTGTACACAGGAGAAAGACAATCTATATAAACATCGTATAACATCACGGATTCGTGCTCCAGGTGAGGCCCAAACTGTAGGAGCATACTTAAGACACATGGGATTGAAGCCACTCCTGTTGCCTTCTGAGGCCTCCTGCTCCTGGGGCCTCTCGGGGCCTCCTGTTGCCTTCCGAGGCCTCCTGGCGCTTCCTGTGGCCTCCTGGGGCCTCCTGTGGCTTCCTGAAGCCTCCTTGAGCTTCCTGGGCCTCCTGGAGCCTCTTGGGACATCCTGTGGCCTCTCGAGTCTTCCTGGGGCATCCTGATGCCTCCTGGGACCTCATGTGGTCTCCTGGGGCCTCCTGAAGCCTCCTGTCGCATCCTGGTGAGAATATGTGCCCACGAGTCTGGCCACCAAAACAAGCAAACCGATCGAGACATCCTCAACATCTGGCCCACCTGGGGGGTGAATCTGAGCGCCTCGCTCGAGACATCCTTCAAATCTGCTCCGAAAGCGGAAAATGTTGGGGACCCAAAACAAGCAAACCGCTTGAGACATCCCCACCATTTTGGCGCGAACGGAGGCCGTGCAATACCCCTGGCGGCTCCCCCTCAGGAGGCGCCTCGTACGAGACGTCCTCAACATCTGCTCCGAAAGCGGAGGACTTTGGGGACCAAAACATGCAAACCGCCTGAGACATCCCCGCCATTTGGGCGCGAACGGAGGCCGTGCAATACCCCTGGCGGCCCCCCCTAGGAAAGCTAAAACCAGCAAGCCGCTCGAGACATCCTCCTCATCTGCTCATCGTCATCGTCATCGTCATCATCGTCATCATCATCATCATCATCATCATCATCATCATCATCATCATCATCATCATCATCATCATCATCATCATCATCATCATCATCATAATCGTCATCATCCTCATCCTCATCCTCATCCTCATCCTCATCCTCATCATCATCATACTCATAACCATCATCATCGTCATCATCATTACCATCATACTCACACCATACCATGGTCATCATCATCATCATGGTATGGGTGGGTGG